CATTTATGTATGTTTCGAGTTCAAAATTTTCGATTCATCTTCATGATGAGACGTGCTGATTAATTTTTGATAAAGGCAGGTCGAGCCGTATTAAAGAATGGGAGACAAAAGTTCCAAAAATGAAAAAAAGTCAAAATTTTGAAAAAATTACAATATGTAATAAATAATTTCAAGTTTCTCATGAAAATGTTTTTTTTCTATCTAAATCTATTTTTTTCAGTTTTCAAACAATGTAAAGCTTCTTTAAAAATTTTAATTTTCGGTACGAGAATTTGCCTTAAGTCACGATGCCATCCACCACCACATGATTATTTGTGAAGTCTCATCCTCAAAATTTGATTTTTTTACTATGAATATTTTAAAATTACTTTCCTTCGAGTATTAATTATAAATACGTTTGAAATATAATAATTATAAATACGCCTGAAATAATATTTATTATCATTGATTACGGCTTGATTATAAATACCGCACTGCTTGATACCGAGGTGACTGAGGTGGGGACTAGATTGTATAAGTCACTTCTTCAACAATAACAGGACATCGAGCATATATTCTCCCAGAGATTATACAAATCGTATAAAAAATTGTGAATAATTCGCAGAAGCGAAAGGAATTAGTTTGAAATCTAGATATTGTATTATATTAATAAAACCTTTCTATTCAACATTGTATCATATGACTATAAGTTGGACAAATAAGTAAAACTACTATGCTAATAAAATGAAAAGCATGAGGACTAGCAGTCCATGTAGTTTAAGGTCTATGGTTTTTATACATTTTTGATACTGCCAATGGCTGAAAACTAACCTCAAAATTGCACAATGGTCGAAATGACATTAGTTCAACTTCACACCTATTTTATTTATAAGTGCAAACGCTTCACTATCCATTATTTTAAGCTGCTTATTGTTATGTCCATAACATAAAATATGTGAATATTTTATGTTATGACACCGATGAGAATAGCTATCACACTTATAATATTTTAACGAAATAAGTAAGATGTGTATTGGAGAATTGGCTCATAAATCTCGGTATTTATTACGCAATTCTCATTTAGAACAAATATTTATTATTGCAAAAATCGCAATGAATAAACATTAGATCCAAATTTGTGTCACGATATGATTAATCGACAAGAAATTTCGTGTGATAAACAAATGTGCAAATAATTCGCGTCGCAACGCGATAACGCGTGAATGCATTCTATTTTCAAAACCAATCGCCGAATTATTGAGATGTTATTGTTGTGATTTTTCGGTGATTCATATTATAGGTTTATTAATGTTATGTCAAAGAGATTGACTATATACTCGATTTCAAATATTTACATTCTGATTTTTACAATCAAAACATGTTCTTCAAACATTTATTCAATATAAATATAATCAATGGAGGTAGTGGAACAATCGACAAAAATTTATACTTAGATAAGGATGAATGAAAATGAATGTTGATGGATTTTATGAATGAATTATTACACAAACATGTCATATATGAAATATCATACTACGCAAAAATAAAAATTAACAATTGTAAGTAACAATTTAGAACCATTACGATATTTATTATTGAAATTACTATTTACGACGTAAAAAATTTCAAAAAAAAATCAAATTTGATAAATTTTATATTAAAGCAAGGAACGAGTACCAAAAGCCAATGGATGATGCAGCTTAAAATTAAACTAAATTTGCTATAATTAAAACTTGTATATTTTATGCAATATACAAGTTAAATGTATATTGTAATGTATACTTGTATATTGTGGGAATTTCTTCAATACAATACTTCAATACAATACAATACTAACAAATTTTAAAAAAAAAACGTAATAAGTATATAAACACTCAAGTTTTAAAATAAAGTTAAAATTATAGGTTATTTTAGTTCATAAACTGCTTTTAAATTTTAGAAATTAATTTATAATAAAATTTTCTCGTAATTTTCAAAGATGCAATTAAATTATCAATAATTAATGGACTAAATCAGATGAATAGAAATTATATAAATCTTCTACAAATTTAATAATATAATTTTAACATGTTCCTGATTCTGGCTGCTGTAAATGCAAATGAAACCTTGTGAACCTTATTTTCCAATTCGATAATTAAATATTATAATAATAATTGTTTATTTCATTTTTTATAATTTAATAATAAATATACAATATTTGTTGAAATTATAATATCCACATTAAAGAGAACGATAAAATATTATAGATTATTTTGTGGGACATTAATTCTCATTACCTTATTAATTGTGAAAAATCTGAATTCTGAATTGAATGAAAGTAATAAATTCTTTCTTCCCTTTTTATTTGATGTACTGTCCTGAAGAATTTGAAACACATATTTCAACATCAAAATTATTATAAAAAACCCAAAACTCACGTACAATACATATGTACAAATTTCAACTCAGAATAAATTCACATTTTAATAATAAATTATGATTTGATTATGAATTCTCATTTAATTATAACCTCTTTTAACAACTACCAAACCTCAAACATAATTAAAATCAAATTAAGGCGTCAAATAAGTTCAGAAAAATTGATATCTTATTTTATTTGATTATTCTATAATTTGTATATGTATTTAAAACCATAGCAATACATGAAATCAACAGTGAATATATATTTTTGATACAAGTAAACATAAATGAATTATCAGTGAATATATGCAAAAATAGATTTTTCATTGTCATCCAAATTTTGGTTTTATAGGTTATGTAATTATGTCATATTTATTCAAAATAGGACATTGTCAACATGTCGAAATTCAATTAAAATGTCCTAAAATCGTTTCCAAGTTATTTCGAGATCCGATTGAAGAATTTGTGAAGCCATAAAATTTGTATTGGTCGAAATGTTTTATAACGGGTGTTATTAACAGTTTTAATTCCATAGAAATATCAGAATGCAATACCTTTTATAATTGCGCAGTAGTTATGCACATTTGTAGGAGAGGTCTACAAAAATAAATGATATTTCGTGTAGGATAATATGTTTAATGATAAACTCCTTCGAAGGTCGGGTACTTTGTTCCTTAACCCAAGATGAAATGGACCCAAACAAACTTTGGAACAGTCAAAAAATCATCACATCATTAGCAAAACGAACCATTAACATTATAGCATCTTGAAGCATCATTAAGAAAAGATCTATCGAAGCCCTCGAAGGAAAATGAGTCCCGTTATTTGACAAAACAAAGACGTCAATCGGCGTTCTCGATTTCAATGTTTATTCACAAGATAACTAGCAAAATATTCACTCACCTTAATCCGTTCAGTTGTGCACACACTCACTAAATTAATAACACACACAAATCACTTATAATATAGCAGATGATCCAAGATTTGTTTAATAATTATTACACCAAACTCTGTTTTCTCTAATTTTCAAAATGGCGACATGGCGACTGCCACAGCTCGGCGATCAATAATATGACGTCACAGAGACGCAACCGACGACAGCGCTGTCGAAATTCAACGACAGCCGCGGGAAATAGGGAGGCGGGTAATTCAAAAGTGATCTTTTTTTTGTTTTGAAATTTCATTAAAAAGCTATAAAAAACGTTTATTTCTGGTTAACGGATATATTAAAATAGTATTCCAATTTTGATGCAATAAAAATTATTAATAATTAACTAAGCTTTGGAAAAATATGAAAACCTTTCTTTCTTATGCAACTATTTCGAATATTTTTGCGCAAACTGTGATCTGTAAAAACAATATTTTAATGTCACTTTGGAAATTTAATTTTGCGCTAAATACGCGCAATATTAAAATATTGAATTTTGTAAACAATAGTTTAACATAACTTTCATTGCAGACTATTTATAAACCATAATTTATATGTAATATCTTTAATTATATTATCTCATAAATTGCAATGTCAGAAATCATAATAATCTTAATAAGAATTTTGATAACAGTTCCTATGAATAATTAGATAATTTATTGCTTATTTTAGTACCATATTAACACAGACTACCTCTGCGTCAAATGTTAAAAACACACAGAAAATGCAATTTGATAATTCCACCAAAAACCAGAGAAAAATATGTTTCGAGGAGTTACGAAAAATCCAACAAAGCAAATTTAAAAAGCATATCGAACATTTGATCATTAATGGCTAATTTTGTTTTAAAACTGATCATAACCTCTGCAAATATCACTTGAAATTATTAATTCGAACATTGTTTCATTTGTAGAAAGTCTGCGCCAAATATATTTCTTCCCAGAAAATGTGAATTAAAATTATTTTAAGGCATTTGAGTTAATTATTCTTTTCATATTATTTTATAATTAATCATTTACATTTGAAACATCAATACACTTTTTATCATCTGTATTCACCATATGAATTTCTGTTTTAATGGATGTGATTAAATGTTGTTTTTATTGCAAATGTTTTCTTACATTCCCTAACCAAAAGTGATTGCACCAAATACTTACAGCTATTAACAATAACTTTCTTGGACTTAAAATATAAATAATATATGATATTTAGTATTACAATCAATATTGGTTATTAGTGTCACAAGATTTAATTATATATTAAGTACAGAAAGAGAATCACTTATATGATAACATATATATGAAAAAAGGCAAAAACATAATAATAATTAAAATTTACATCTCTTATCTTTATACTGTTCATAAATAAGTTAGTAAATGCAAAAATATTTCACTTAAAACAATGATCATAAATTTATTCATCTTATCCATCAATAGTTGCTTTTAAAGGTATACTTAAAAGGAGTCACTCACTGAATTAATAACACATTCAGTTTCAAAACTTATAAAAATTATTTATATAAATTAATTGTATAAAAGTATATGACTCTCGTACATCAAGTTCGCGTTGTTGAACATTAGAACATCACTATAAAACTGTCCGCTACAAATATTACTTATTGGTACTACAGATAAAATACTTTTGTCAACTTTTCTTTTATTTATACAATCTAATATTTCTTTTAAATAAGGTTTTATACAGCTTCTAAAATTTAAAAATAATATACAGTTATATTTAACAAATACAATCCTTTCAAAATAAAAATTAGCTAATAAATACAAAACTCCAACAGAAAATAAAGTATATGTCGGAAAATTCCAAACTGCAATATTTTGACCAGGTTGTAATTGGAATTGTAAAAATTTTGTGAATGTTTTTTTCTCATATTCATCATAATTCATATAAAAATCTATTTTTTCATTCACAGTCCAAATAAATTTTTCACCTTTTAAAAAGTCATGTATATTAAGCCATGCTATTTCATTTGATTTTTGTAAAGCATTGTTATTACATATTCTTAAACACTCTTTATGCATATCTAAAAGAGGGGCAAATATAAATTTGGAGCTTCCTAAAATACTAACAGGTTTACCAAACTTAAATAATAATTCAAAATCATTCAATTTTGTACAAATATTTAAAAGCTTAAAACCATCTTTTTCTGTCCAATGGTATACCTGAAAATGATTACAACGTTCTTGAAGAAATTTAAGTTTTTCTTCATCTTTTAATAATCTGGTGCGCTCATCATAGTTTCCGGTATGGAGGCGAGGATTTAAGTTAAGTGAATTATACTGTATAACACCACATACTAATTTCAAATTTTCTTCTATAACTTCGACTTGGTATTCTTTTAAAAAATGTTGTGTAACTGAACTTTTATATTTTTGCACGAGATGATAAGCGACTGGCTTGTGAAAGGTCAAAATATTATTTTCAATAACCGAACATTGGATATTCATGAAATACCGTGCACAATTATACACTTGCTCTAAAAAGTCATCTGGTACATCTTGTCTTCTGAATATTGATTTTTCAAAAAGCACTTTATTTTCAAGCTTGTTTAGTAGTAAATAAACAAGATCTAAAAATTTGTTACTTCGATTATAACCCATACAAATGACATATACTTCTGAGTTACCACCCTTGGATGTGGCCGGCTTAAAAACACTTACTGATGCAAAGCATAAGTTTAATAAATATAATATATTTATACTTGAACATTCAAAAAATGTGAACATTTTCAGCATAAATGAACCCCCACAATGCAAAATTAATAATGCAGTCAACACTTCATAAATGTGCAGTTGTGCTACTTTATTTTCTTGTTCTTCTGGTGTACGAAAACAGTCTATGGATCCATCAGCAGTAATTAGGACAACCTAAATTATAATATAATTTATTTAAAAGCATCATCGACAATCTATGTGAAAACAATCTAGTAAATTGTCCAAATTCAAATTTGAATAATATTGAAACTAGATGTAAGTAGCATTTTACCTTAAGGCAATCAATAAAAAATCAGTATATTAATTTATGACTGATTTATAAATATACTCTACACCTTGTTGTAGAGTATTACATTGAAAGAAACTAATGCATACTATTCACAATTCATTCATTAACAAATGGATTAAATATACATATACTGTGCATTTTCTGAAAGCGCAGTACATTACTTCAGTCTACAATTAATTTTTATGATTGAGCTACTTATTGTAGGCCTTCAATATTTTAGTATGTCCTATAAGATCATGATCTATATCGCCATACAAGGTTTCATAAAAATAGACAAAAAACAAAATTCAGCAATTAATTATGACTGAACTTTACCAAAAACTAATTTCCACAAACACATGTTACCCATGTTGTTGTCAAACAATTCAGAATGACTTGGAATGTTGAGAAAACAAAATTAAGAAGTAATTTTCTGGCAAGAATATGAACTTCTCCTTTGAAAATTTAAAAAATTATATTTATATGTTTTTTCAGAGATTACTGGACTGCAAATCTTATAAATGCAGTAAAATTGGCAGAACCATTTGTAAAACTCAAATCATTTTAACTATGTTATTTCTTAATATACTTAATATAAAAAATATTTTATATTTAAATTAAACTAACCGGCTTAATTTTTTCACATTCAGTTCTCAAACTTTCTATATTCTTCATGTCCATTATATTTCCAGTAAAATCATGTCCGAAATGCCAATTGGCCAATGTATGCAGCATGAGCCGGTCATCCAAGATCATGTTATACACTTGGTTGCCTTCATAATACGGATTTAAAGTAGTTGCAATCCAATTGAACTGGAAATAATAATTATTCTTTTAATTGTTTAGAAATATATTTTACAACACTCATATTAGAAAACTAGAAAGATAGATATGTATTAAAACAAAATCTGTTATCAATATTTATATTCTAACACTGTAGAAAATTGGGAAATAATTTAAACATAAATGTTTGTTGATAAACTAAACTCTATTGATACACAATGTAAATAAAGAAGGAACATAACTGTTACTGATACATGTTATTACTAAAAAGATTTTGAGAATAATTTAGAAATAGTACTATGACACTATAGTATGATCATTACACTATGCACTATGATCATTGTTAGTTAGTTAGTTATCAACAATTTTACAAATACATCTTTCCAGTAGGAGCATAAAAAATAAAAACAATTAATAAAACTCAGCATTGCTGTATGATTACTTATATACATCGTTACTGAAAATTTATAATTTGAAAAACTTTCTTAAGCTATAAATAATTGTTCTTTCTTACCCGAACATCTTTATGTTTAGTTCTTAAAAAATGATTTAAAGCAGCTATAAAAGCCCCTGGAGCTTCACATAAATGCAAGCTATTAAATTCTTTATCGCCAGGCGATAATGATACCAGGTCATAAGAACATAAACACTCGAACATCTTGCACCAAGCTTGAGTGACAAACTCTGCATTGTAAGTGTTCCTTAATTTCCATTGTATCTAGAATATAAAGGAAATTTAAAAATTGTATTAGAGAAGAAAAAGTGATATTTCAAATAGGGTAAAATATTTCAAATAAAAACAAACATACTTTGTCAAAGAGAATAAATCGACTCTAAAGAAGGCATTAACAATTTCTGTATATAGAACTATTTACATAGGGTTTAGCTGGGTACTAATTACTTCATTTATTAAATGTCAATGAACAAGTGAACAAATAATATTAGTTATGAAATAAAATAAGTAACAATATATATCAAAAGAATTCTTCAAATTAGAATAAATTAAATTAAATAAATAAAATAAATTCATAATAATTATACCTCCCCAGCTGGGTTCCGTTTTTTCGTGTGCATACTCCATTCTTCAATAGGATAAACGTTTAATTTACTTTTCACAGAATTCAAATGTTCCTTTAATTGTAACAATTCAAAGCATAAAAATTCAGGGGTAGTTAAAATATGTTCATTTTCAGGTACAACCCACGTAGAAGATTTTTGAAAAGAGAACTTTTTGTTGAATACGCTTTTCACATAATTCATTTTTGAATCGTTTTATTTTTAATTTTATAATCATTCTCTATTATTTTATAACTTTTATTTCAAATGCTTATTTGTGTTTGGTTAAATCAAAACACTTAAACATGTGCTAGTTGTCAAAAAACTAATGCGGCTAATTTCACAGATGTTTGTGACCATGCGAAAAGAAGTAGCTGAGTATCCACTAGCAAAAATATGTGAAATCATAATCATATACGTTAGAGCATCGTTAGATAAAATTTATCTTAATAATTGTTAATTAATGTGATAAGAAACTTCATATCGCGGTTAAATTATTAACATGCAAATAATAGAACACAGAAGCTTTGATTACTGCCTGAACTAAGTAAATGTGGAATTTCTAAGTGATCAAATCAGGTGAATATAGTTTAGTTTTATTAGTGAATAATTTGTATTATTAAAATTAATCCAAAATACTTTAGTTTAATTACGCTGCCATAATTTAGTTAATTGTTCGAAAATCGAAAATGATTCGCTTTTGCATATCTTTAGGAGGCATTAAATCAAGCTAAGACTTTGCATAATTCAGCCAGCATGAAGTTGCCGGCGAAGACTGATATCAAGCTGTCAAGCATTTCAGATGTCAAGAGCGCGTCGGCCATTTTGTTCATTTTTATATCAGCGTTGTGTCGGCGTATTGTTTTTTATTAAGTAGGCTTGTTTCATATTTAATATTTTTTAGCTTTTCGTTATGATTCATTCTTTTTGTGTTTATTTTTTTATGTCCGTTCAAGTTTATTCGCTTTGGCTTTTTGATTACGCGCCTATTTAGTTCTTATTTTAATTTTTACATTTTAGGGTTATGTTTTAGGATTCTTTTCATTCAAAGATCATTTTAGTCTAGCTTAGATTTTATACAATGTTTTAGTTATAATTTTGTTTTAAAAAATAATTTAGGCTTACGTTTTACGCATAGGGTTACATTTTATTCATTATTTTTGTTAGGGTTACGTTGTATACATTATTAGGTTTGGTTTCGATCTTAACCTTAATTCAGTGGAAGCTAACTAAAACTCAACAAACAACAAATAGAAGGTTCAGTAAATGAAATAAAATTGAAACACTTCTGATGTTATAATACTAAACCAAAATACTTCATACTGTCTTGGAATTGACAGATATATTTCGTTTTTTCTGCAATATTTGCTATGAGGGAACAAGATATATTGTATTTTAACGTAATATATTGTCTAAGATAAAGGCTATCATCTTGGTATTAGACAATATAATAATAATAATACTTGTTTGGCTGTGATAATAATGATCTTGACAGGTTTTAGCTGTCAAAGTTATGAATCCAATCATCAATACTCTTCTTTTATCTATGAATCCAATACATTTCAACTTGACGGCTAACTTCTATTTCGTCGCCAACTTCATGCTGGCTGAAATATGCAAATGTCAAAATTCTTAGCCTGATTTAAGGTGGTATCATATCTTTACGTTTCGAAAGTTTCCAAGCATTTTGCCATACCCCATAGAAAAAAAGGATGTGTGTGTGTATGTATGTATGGATACAATTTTTCAACGATTTCGGGTGCACGGATTAACCGATTGGAAGACGTGCTGATGTGAAAAACAGAGCAAAAAGATCTGAAAATATCAGTTTTTGAGAGAACGGAGCATCCAATGATTCAGAAAACGTTTGATTCTTATAAGATATAAGATATATATATTGACAGGGAGATTTGCTGGTTTTTATTTTTGCAAAGGCAGCTTTAGCCATTTTGGAAATATAGAGCAAAACAAGCAAATAATAATAATAGTTATTGAGAGAACGGAAGAATGATTCAAAAAACATTTTTCTTGTGTTAACAGTGTGTAGTAATAATTAGTTTTTGGAGAAGGCAAAAAAATATATTTTGATATCAAAAATTCAAACTTTTTTTATATTTCTATCAAATCAAAGCTGAGATTCTGAAGCTGACTTATATATACTTACTTACTTGCTTGAAATAAATGATTTTAACTTAGTAATTCAGTTTTTATAATTCTTAGTAATGAGATAAAGTCCTTATTTACTTTTCATGTAAACATATATAAACGTCGTCATCAAAATTATAAGTTCTATGAAATGTGTAAATTACAGTACAGAAAGTTTCCGCAATTTGCTTTAACATGCAATATACCATTGGTTTAATATACTCGTAGCAGTATATTTAGAATTACTGTATTTTATCTACTACAGTCTTGTAGTGAATTTACTGCATTTAGATCATATTATCAGTGATCAGATAAATAGATCAGATAATCAGTGCTTTTCATATATATTTATAATAATATCAAATAGAGCAAGGGCATTTTAGCTTCCAGTTTTCAGCAGATTTTGATGAAATTTATGGCAGCAACTGATTCATATTTACATTTATAAAAGTATATTTAACACTATCATTATACCATTAATGATATATTTATAAATATATAAAATAAACACCAGTATTAAATATATTAAATAAAATGCATTGATTACATAATTTAATACAGTTATGTAATTGAATAAACTAATTAAATTTCAATTTTTTCCCAGCTTCCCATAATAAGTAGTAACAACGACCACATTTATTAAATTGTCATATTGTGATATCACTAAATTGTATCAGGTATTCTGGACAAAAGTTCAGTTCTGGAAGAATTACGTTTTTACAAGGCATTTAGTACATCCCAAGCTATTTTAAACTTGAATGAAATTAAAATAAAACGAATTCAGTTCTGAAAAATATATTCACTCATTTAATTCTTGTAATCTGTGTTTAGTTCTTATCACAACATCTAACATATATTCCGGTGTGATTAAATCTCTAGGAGTATAATTTGCAGATATAGATTCTTCCACTGCATAGGTTATACTAGTATCACACAACTGAAGCTTGAAATGCGCCAAAGCTAAAATAACATTTCTAATTCGGGCAATCATTTCTCTGTCATCTCTTGGAACCACCTAAAATGACAAATGCATGTTGAATAATTCGAACTAACAAACTTAGTTGAAAACCAACAAAGTTACACTTAAGATAAAACCATTAGAGATAAGAATTTTAGATTTTCATGACATATGACTAGTTGAAGAGGCACTTGATTTATAATTTTTTAAATCTGATGCAGGGCTTCATACTATGATTTTATAATGAATAAAATAGATAAGTCAAAGTATCTATTATACCTCCTCTAAATTTTGTGTAAAACCACCAGCACCACCAACATCTTGATTGATTGTTGGACATATCCATATAAATCCATTGTTTCCGAGGATAACAGAAGCACCACAGGGTAAATTATGAAAATGATTCTTTCGCCGTTTCACTAGAGATGGAAAAACTTTAACCATAATTCCTTGAGATAACTGAGAAATAAATTAAACATCATAAGTAAAATCATAAATTATGAATTGATAATGCATTTTAATCACTGCCACAAATGCATGAGACAAAATCAATTTTGAATGAATGATAATGTTCATAATCAATTTTTTATCCATTATCAATATAATAAAGCTCTTAAAATGCCTCTTATTAAGCACAATGATATTAGAAACATATTATGGTATATCATCCAAATTCTGATGTATTAATCTAATAAATAAAACTAATTGCTGCAATACCTTTCCATATTTTAAACTTCTTGTGTGCAGTGATAGCGAACCATCACCATAAACATTTTGAACTTCTGCACTGATAAGATCACCTTCTTGCAAATAACGTCTCATAGCTTGTTCATCTTCAACAGAACGTCTACGCTAAAATAAACCAAAAAATATTTATATAAACTTTTAAAACTTTTGATAAAATCTTAAGCTTATTTATACAAATGCAATTATATTTAACTATACTGTTTTGAATGTTAAATGTTACACATGTTATACTAACCAGCTCTCCTCCTGGCAAGTTAACCGATGACAATAGTAAAACAGAGTCAAGTCTGGAGTTTGTATCTACTTTCCATCTTTTTTGTTGAACTTCTGTGATACGTCCAACTATAACATCACCAATTTCACCAACGTATCTGCTTTTCAGAGGTTTCACAGAAATCAATTTATTAACTTGTTCTACAACTCCAGCAACTGAAGCTTTTAAGTAGTCATCTTCAGTGTAAGTTCCATGGCCACTAAATTAATTGATTGAATTATATGAATAAGAATGATAATTTATATGCAAAGATGCAAAGAACAAGCTACAAATGTAAGAAGATACATGAGCAAATGGAAATAAAGTGGTTTTGAATATTGAAGAAATTCATAAGTATAATATAATCTTATAAGTACTTATTAGGAATGTTTTTTAACTTTTAATGAGGTTCTTAAAAGCACTGACTAAATAATGCTTGTTATTAACTAATGATTAAGAAGAGTTAACTTTTGGGAAGAGTTAGTTTGGCAACACTTCACATTTAAATAGAATAATTAAAGGTGCATATAATTAATCAAATTAAAGCAATAATGAGAAACTGAGCAAAATAGAAGAACCAGTTTTTTTTTAATTTTTTTTTTATTTTACATAATTCATTTAAGGAAATTGGTCAAGATTTGACCAGGGTTTTTTTGTATTGGGTCAAGTAAAAAGTTTGTTTTGTTTATTTAGAAACTCGTCCAGTTTTTTTTATAGGGTGCAAATAAATTTATTCAAACTCAAATGCTTCAAATTCAAATGCTTCATTAATATCGACAATGTTTTGACATTTATTCCTATCAATGGCTAGTTTTCTCCTAATGTCGACAGAGCTGATTTACTTATCTTCCTCTACCTTTTTAATAATTTCATCAAATTTTTCAGTGATTCGACGAGCGGAGTGTGGCACATCTTTCACATCAAAATTACAAGAACGAAAGAGATCGAACCATCTGCCATCAGCAGATTTTGAACGAATACCTTATACAGCATAATTTTTTTCACAAGTCTGCACAGTGTTTTTCCCTCCATCATAATAATATTGCAAAATATAGCGTTTTTTTTTCATTAGTTTTGTTCATTTTCAAGCACAAATAACTTTTCAACCAGTTGACCAATTTCTTTGATCATACCATCAAAATAATTCTCAAAGAGTCAACTTTCTAACTGGTGGTGCAATCACTGGTGCCTCTGTAATCTGCACTTTCTGAATTATTTGTAACTAAAGCCGTCTATCGCGGAAAACGAAACGAACTATTTACTTTACCTAAAACCCTTCGGGGTAGGGGTATAAATGTTTGTACATACAAATACCTATGTATTATTATACCTTACAGTGTCTAGTAAAAGGAATGAGAGAAGATACAAAATCAATATATATCGCAAAGTAAATAGTTGCTTTTCTTCACTTTCTAATGATGACAGAATAATTCTAACTTACAGTCCACTAAATTAATTTTGCACAACTTGTATTTTAATAGAATAGTTGCTACTAATATTATCAAGTTTTATAAGCTTATGATGAAGGCAAAATCTTTGCAAAGAAAAATAAGAGTAATCAACGCAAACACAAGTAAAATTATAGTTTGGCTCAAAATACATCATCTAATTAGACCTTGCATTTTTTTAAGTGCAACCATTTGTATTATTATTAAATATATTACTTAAAATAATATTACCGCATATAACCTCCTTGTTGAACAATTATTTCCCCAGGTGTATATAGACGTACATTAAATGTACTATTATCAATTGCTGTATCCACACGTTCAGAAGCTAATTTTATGCATACATTTTGAGACATTATTAACCAAATAATTAAAAAACAATACTTAAAAGGAATACAATTTCATCAATAGTTTAAGCTGAATTAATATTATTTCGTACTAATTATTTACAATAATAAATGCAATTTAATTTTAATATTTTTTCACATGTTATTTATGATAAATAATAATATTATTTAATAAAAGCAATAATGATTAAAAACCCATTACAAAGAACTCGTGCGTTTTTAACCTAACTTAGAGAACAGTCATAACAAACATTGCCGAAAACATTACAAAGTGAAAAATTCTACCAGGGGTTGTCAACATTTATACAAATTGACATTTTTCGTTCTTTCACAAGCCTAAATTATTAAAATTATTTACATATTGGTATTTTTTAATGATTATTTAAGGCAATAAATTTAAATACGCTCAAAATATTCTCATTTAAGTTTGTTTTTAATGCACGATACTGTCTTTAAACTTTTGTTTATATTTAACTTCCTGCAGGGTAAGTTCATAGATAAACAAGTATAATGGGTAAGTTATAGTAATCGCAAAAAATCAAAAATATTTTTTTTGCATATCTGCACGATTTGAAGGTTTCTGAACATTTTGGCATACCTTAAGAAAAATTGATGATGTTTGGATACAATTTTTTGTCCACGATTTCGGACTCACGAACCAACCGATTTGAATGATTCAAAAAACATTCGATTTCTATTGATGACAAGAAGTGCTGATTAGTTTTTGGTGGAGACAGGTCCAGCCGTTTCGAAGATACGGGTGGCAAAAACGGTAATTCAGTTTTTGAGAGAACGGAGTATCCGATTTGAGTGACTCAAAAAACATTTTACTTGTATTGACAAAATGAAGAAATGATGAAATTCTTGGTATGGCAGGTCTAGCGGTTTCGGAAATACAGAGGAAAAAGTAAAAAAAATGATATTTGGCGGTCAAAAATGATCATTAGACATTAGCGCATCAAATTATCAGATATTTTTATTTTAGAAATGGAAACTAATTTTGTTGGATTCCGTACCAAGATTGTTAATTTTTAAAGTTTACTTATACTGTTCAAGCTAATTTCAAAATTTTCAGAAAAAAAAGAGAAATATACAAAGTTTCATTCTTGAAATATGAATTTTAAATTTATAATTCAGTTTTAAAATGAATATATTTCAAACACGTTATTCTAATCGTAAGAAATATATCCTCAGATGGATTTATTCGGCACCTCTTGCTAATGCAAACTTTCTCAAGTGTTTTGAGCGATAAGATCGTTACTTTATATTTTGTGAACGATGAAATATATACGGATTGATTATAATTTTAATTCGAAAATGTTTAAAACAATTGTTATTAATAATATCAATATTTATTGATTACTAATTTTTTTCTCAAATATTTAATTGTGTCACGGAAAGTTCCAGCAGTTCGCCTTAAGGCACGATACCATGCACCACTAGTTATTATAAATAAATAATTCATAAGATTGAAGATAAGATCAGATTATTTTTACTTTGGTAACGTCAAATTGAGAAATCCAGGACGTCCAGGACAATCATTTTGAAAAAAAAACTATTGCACAATTATAAAATGTATTTATTTATATAAAGCAGGAAAAATATTGTACAAAAATAGTAATTAAGATTATAGCGATTGTTTCTTAATAATAGTTTTCCTGTAACAAAATGTTTGATAAAATATATCATTATATTTAAAATGCATACTCAATTATTAAAGGTTTACCAACCCTATGCAATCAAAGTACATTTCAAAAGTGATATAACCTAACATATCTCTTTATTCAAGTATTTTTTACAAATACTATAATATATTTAATATACTGTTACCAAATAGTACAAAATGAAAACGTTTATGCATAAAATTTAATTTTATTACAATTGGTGAATAATTAAGGTACGCCATTTCTAGTTTTGTGTTCAATGAGAAACTAATTTGACAGAAAAGTTTGTGAATATTAAACAAAATGTTCAAATTAATAAAATATTGTTCTTCCAGTGCAAATCCTTTTAGGTAGGTAATTTTAATAATAAATATTTATATTTTAAATTATTATTTCACACTTGGTGAAACCCGCCGGAGCAATTTTGACGTTTTGCGCAACCATTCAAATTAAAGGCGCGAAATTTAAAATCAGATGAACATGAATTTTAACATTAGAGAACGTTAATTCTGGTGATGATATTTTTGTATAATGCATTTTGAAAATAACTTTAGTTTTGTGATATAATTTTTTTTTATTAACTGGTAATTGCTGCAGCAATGAAGTAAATGAAGTAAAATTAGAAATTACCATGATAATTTCTAATTTTACTTTATTTCTTCTATCCATTTTACTTCATTCATTACCATGGTAATTTCTAATTTTACTTCAGTTACTTCATATCCTTCGATTTAAATTTTTTGTTGTCTCTTATTTTATAAAATCTGAATTATTTTTGAAGAAATGTTGCAAATATTTTATATAACAGCCTTAAGTTTTATTTAAATTTCTGTTGTATAAAATTTATTAACTTACACCAATTTCAACATTGCATTTTATATCAAAACTTGATCTTTATATTACTTATGTCCAATATTGACAAGGTATTTAGGAAAAACCCGACTTATAAGACCTCTCATTTCATTTCAATTTCAGAAAATCTTTATTATCCAAATTTCCGGTGGGCAAGAAATCGTTCAGCCTACATAATAAACCAGTTTTACCAAAAGCCCCTGAAGATAAAAAATGTTTAATAAACGTTATATCTACGACTTTTGGAGTATCTTTAGGCATTGGATTATATACCTTAAGAAATCAGCGAATTGTCCTATGTGAGAAGAAAAGTAATAAAAATCGATTACATGGGACAATTCAAGCAGATAAAATCCTCAAATTTGATTGGAAACTCTTCTGGAAATATATTAAGCCTCATCTGTTACACTTATTAGGAGCTATAATTGTAAGTATGGAAAAAACTAACTTCAACAATAAAAATGTTTAATATTTACTTTAACATCTGAAAATAGACAATAATTAACTTTATTTTCAATTTATTGAGAAATGTTGATATTTCAAAATGTTGATTACTTCTTACTTTGTTTAATACTTCTAATTACAACAATCAGATTATAATATAATAATCTAAAGTAATTGCAATAAGTTGAAAGCAAACGAAGAAATCTGTTCGCATACACACAGTTACACACACTAATACTTTTTCCAAATTTGGTCTCATTCTATTCAGAATAGCTTGAAACGTCGAGAAAACATAATATTAGCAAATCGTATTTTTTGATGAAAACAAACTTCTCCTTCGGGAAGTTAATGAATAAATAAGTCAATAATAGTAATAAATAACTAGTGGTTCATGGCATCGTGCCCTAATTCAAATTGCTGGAACTTCACGTACCGAAAATTACATTTTTTACAAAACCTTTAAAATTTTTTGAAAACTGAACAAAATAATGTTTTTGAGAATTTTGAAAGTTTTGAAAAAATTTGATTTGTTCGAATTTTTTTTATGCTTTGAATTTTTCTGAAAATTTTAAACTTTTTTCAAAACAATCGTGCTGCGTGGCTGTTTTAGAGAAGAAATATAAAAGCGCGTAAGCGCCATAAGTAAACATTAGTACGGATAAACATTAGTATGAAACCCAAAGAAATGTAACAATATTTGTACTTGTTTTTAAAATCTCTATAAAATATCTGATCATTACATGCGCATATGTCTAAATGATCATTTTTGGCCGCCAAATGGCTTTTTTTACTCTTTTCACTGGATCTCCGAAAGAGCTAGACCCGCCTTAGCAAAATTTTTTTAAGGTACTTTATTTTGTCAACATAAATAAAATGTTTTTTGAATTATTCAAATCGGACGCTCCGTTCTTTCAAAAATTGAATTACCATTCGTGGCTCTTTTCCCCGTATCTTCGAAACGGCTAGACCTGCCTTAGTTAAAAACTAGTCAGTGCGTCTCCTTATCAGTACAAATGAAATTTCTTCAATCGAATCAAGTTTTTCGAATTATTTAAATTGGTTGATCCGTGTTCCCGAAATCGTCGACGAAAATTTGTATCCGAACACACACACATACATCAATTTTTTCTAAGGTATGTCAAAATGTCCAGAAACCCTGAAACGTGAAGATACATATATAAAAAAATTCAATTTTCGCAAGGCCGTAGCACTAGCATGTCCTACGTTTCGACATACCTTAAAAAAATGGATGTATCTGTGTCTGTATGAGTGTGTATGCGGATACAAATTTTTGTCGACGATTTCGGGAACACCGATCAACCAATTTTAATAATTCAAAAAACATTCGAATCGTATTGATATGGATACACGCTGGTTAGTTTTTGTCAAAGGCAACCCTATTCGTTCCGAAGATACGGGACAAAAAGTGACATAAAGAAAGTTTTGAGTAAGTTGTAAATACATTTCACTTTAGTAAATTATTAATTTAATTCTAGGCGGCCTTGGTCGTAGCATATTTGAACATACAAATACCACAGCTTTTAGGAGGAATTATTGATGTTGTATCAAAACATTCTAATGAAATAGCTATAATAGGATCAGGAGACATGGCTTCTGGAAGTTTTTTCAAAGATATGAAAGCTCCGGCTTTGCATCTCTTATCAATGTATGGAGCACAGGTACATATTAAAAATAATATTTATTTACATTGGATTAAACAATAACAACATTTCTAATAATACTAACTGCCCATATTCAATTTTTGCAGTCATTCTTCACGTTTATGTACATTTATCTTTTATCCGGAATCGGTGAAAAATTAGCAACAAGTATACGACATGATTTATTTAAATCGTTGTTGAAGCAGGACATTGAATTTTTTGATAAGCATAGAACTGGAGAACTGGTCAACAGGTAAATTTTTAAAGAAATATTAATACACAATTGCATTTCGCATACAATAATGCCAATCAAAATAAGTTCATTTTTAAAAGGAAAACGTTATTCGCACGTTTCTTATTCAGAATAACTCGTATATTAAGAACATTAACATAGTTAAATAATTTGGTTAACTTTGGGCCCACAAATTTGATCATTTTCTAATTGTTGACCATGGCCAGAAGATTATACGTGCATTGGTCCAAAACATCAACAATAAATAATATTTATTTGTCATTTTTATTTGGATTTTGAGAAAGAGGTATAAGATTCCCATCAATATCTTTAGTTTTTCCGAGTTTTTTTCGGTATGTCCATATTTTAATTTGCCCATTATATCTCATTCATTCTTCACCATTCTCCAGAAATATTACATGAGAAATAGGGGGTCTGGTAGATTATCATGTGTTTATTGACTTTTTAACAAAATTTCCAAAAAAATTACGATTTTTGTAGGTACATACACTAAAAAACACCTGATGCTGAAGAGGAAGGGAACGCACTTTTCAATATCAGCAAGGGGAAGGGGAGGGTTAAAAATAGGAAAAATATCATGTGATTTGACGACGGTCCTTTATGATTTAATCCTGCGTGTTAATTTCAGATTAACGACTGATGTACAAGACTTCAAATCATCTTTCAAACAAACGATATCTCAGGGACTGAGAGCAATTGCCCAATTAATTGGTGGTTCAACATCACTTTATATTATTTCTCCGGCATTATCAAGTATAGCCTTCGTTTGCATTCCGACAGCTGTTATTATTGGAAGCTATGTGGGATCCATACTGAGGAAGAAATCTAGAGAGGCTCAGGCTCAGGTGAGAGAATTATCATATCTATAGGTATATATAAAAATGGATGTATGTCTGTCTTTCTGTGTGTGTAATTGTTATGCATTCATAAACTGATCGTCGTGAAAATTTGGGAAATTGTAAGGTAAATTGCGAGACGGGTTTTCGGATATTTTGATTGAAGCCAAATGGTAGGAGTTGGCCGCCACGAAGACTTTTCTAAAATTTATTGGTAAATTTGTACAAAAACGCATATAACCCTAAATTTTCCACCTCCTACCACAAATCTCTATTTAACTAATTTAACTTTAATTTAACAGCTAAACTAGCAGACAGGTAAACTGGTAAACAAATAAATAGTTGAACAAGCAGATGGATACATACGTAGACAGATGAGCAGGTAGACTATATGTTGATAGGTAAACTGGTGGAAAGGTAAATTGGACGATATGTAAAATGGTAGACAGGACACCTGGTAGATAGACGAATATGTAGAAAGATAGGTTGATAGGTTAATTGGAAGACATTTGAAACGGATTGACAGGTAAATTGGTAGGCTGGTGAAATGGTGGATTGATAAACAGGTTGATAGGTAAATTGGTAGAAAGGTAAATTGATAGATAGGTAAATGATTGAATAGGTAAATTGGTGGATAGGTAAATTAGTGGACTGGTGAATTGGTAGACTGGTAAATTGGTGGACTGGTAAATTAGTGTACTTGTGAATTGTCAAACAAGTTGACAGGTAAACTGGTAGACAAGTAGAGAGGTAGATAGATAGTGATATAGACATGTAGACTGGTAGATTAAATTTAACAAATATACTTTTTTTCAACTTTTTAATTCAAAGTAAAACATGGCAAAGCGTGAACAGGTACATCCAGTTGTTTATAAATATAATGCAGAAAAGTTAAAAGAAAGATATTTATTTATGTCTTGGTTTTATGAAGAAAGTGCATATTCACTATGGGTTGCTTGATCAAATATTTTTATCACGTTTTTGGATCGAAAGGATAATTTTGGATACAGAAAAACTATTTTTTTTCAAATCATATTTTTGCAGTAATTCATCAATTAACCCTCCGTCGGTCGGAGTGGTTTGGCCAACCTTTTTTTGACTTCAATTTAAAAAAAAATACTTTTAGTAATACTATTGACTTGAAATTTCTGGAGTTTTCCTAAAATTTCATTAGCTGTCAATCAATGAAAAAATCAGGACGAAAAATGTGTGGTCCAGCCAAACCACTCCGACCGTTCGAGGGTAAATTAATATCCGACCGACGGAGGGTTAATAATACCGATCAAGTTCTATTTAAAATAAAAAATATAATTTGATTTACCGCTTCTTAGCTTAAAATACAACTCCTACACTACAATTGTGCTATAACTGCTGTCGACATAAAAATTTTCTACATATAATATTAATAGTATCATATATTCCATTCATCTCCCTTGTTTGCTATCATCATTATTATACTGCAATTGAACACTTTTGATTCCATATTGATGCCCAAAGCAGGTACGCTTTTTGTAATATGGGTCCGATCCAGTTTCCTTTCATTTTCATAATCGTGCTCAGGACAATTCTTTCTTCCCCAACTGTCTTCAGTACTTACTCATTTGTCATCTTATTTGCTCACTTTACTTTTCTTTTTACATATTAATATAAAATCTAGTTTTCAATTTTTAGATGGAAAGAGCTACCGGAGTTCTAGACGAAGCAATTTCAAACATAAGAACTGTAAGAGCATTCGCGATGGAGGATACAGAGTCGGATTTATTTTTATGGGAAGCCGAAAGAGCTCAAACCTTGAACGAAGATTTAGGAGTGGGCATTGCCATGTTTCAAGCTGCCACTAACCTTTTCCTCAATGGGTAAGATAAAACATATACAACTTTAATATTAAGAATGATTTTTTGGTAGTCTCGTCGGTATTCATCAAATGAAAAATTAAAATTGGTCCATATATGCATTCGAATTTTTGGCAATTTGAAATAAAAACTATTCTATAACATTGGTGATCTTTTATATTGTTTTAAAGACGTTGTAGAATCGCTGATGCCTGAATTATTACTATTTCTCATATTTTTTACTAATAATATTTTAAATTATTTCATTCTTTTTTTTATTTCTTTATCCCACTTACTCTGTGAATTTTTTATGTTATAATTTTCAACGATCTATATTGGGTTCATAATCTAATTTCGCAGAGTTTAAAAAAAAGCTCAACAAATGGTTATAGAATGTTTTATTTGTTGAATTTCACTTAAGTAGCTTGATTTGCTTTTCTCAAAATTTTGAAGAATTAATTTCCGAAGTACCAAAAACTTGTAAATAAACATATACAGTCGGTCAAGTAAGAGCGTGGCCGGGTTAATTTATAAAAATAATTATTTTATGAAACTTTAATATTTATATATGCATTGTATACGTTAAAAGCAAGGATGCAATTCGGTCAATATGTGTCCAGTCACCACCGGAGTGGACAATTGGCTGGCATCTCCGACGCCTGCTTTTTACTAATTTAACGGATTATTTTAGTCTGACGGCTCTATGAGGGGCAAGGGATTTTAATTTAACGGCTCGATGAGGGCAGTACGTGCTCATATAGAACTTTCATGAGTGAAAATGACATTTTCAAAATCTCTAACAATATTTTCATGTGCCCAAGCGGAAAAGAAGCACATGTTTTTCAGTCGTCAGAGGCTTCCCCGTTGTGTTGCGCCTTTCTGATCATGAATACGAAGAAAGGTACAGATAGTTTTGTAGATATTTTTGTAGATATTTCTAAACATTTTGCCAATAATTTTGCTTGTCCTTGCTGGAGTGTTAAAGCAGGATTCCGCAAATACCCATTCACTGTTCTTTTTTCTTCTTTTTTATTTGAAACACATTTTGATAAATCATCGACATTTTTAGCAACTTTATATAGGTGTATCGAATTCTGTACAATTGTCTTCAACTTTCTCATATGTTTAGCAGCAGCTGATTGCTACATTTGGGTACCTTTAAGGTGCATGCAATAGGGCGCAGCCTCGAAGCGCGACGCGTAACTTAGCACTCATGGCGTTTAATATGATTTTTCCTCAAAAGATCAACTACAACTAAACCTTTTTTGACAATGCATCAAGGACAAAGCTTCACTTTATCGGCTCACGAAAGAATTAGACCGAAATCTTTCATTAACTGTCGTTAAAGTCGGCCACGCTCTTACTTGACCGACTGTACATAGGTCTAGCCGTTTCTAAGATACGGGGCAAAAAGAGCCACAAACGGTAACTCAGTTTTTAAGAGAACGAAGTGTCCGATTTTAATAATTCAAAAAACATTTTACTTGTATTGACAAGATGAAAACTGGTAGAAATATTTGGGAAGGCAGGTTCAGCGGTTATGGACTCTCAATAAAAGTTTAAAAAATGCAATTTGGCGTTAAAAAATGTTCATTAGACAGACATATGCACATCAAACTATCGGATGTTTAATAGAGAATTTAATAATGTTCACATTTTGTGTCATTTTTTTGGGTTCCATACCAAGATTTTTAATTTTGATGTTCATTTATAATATGGTTCAAACAAATGTCCTCGACATTTTCGACAGTATGGAATAACCAATTTGTATGATTGAAAAAGCATTCGGTTCGTACTCGATCGCAAGGCGTTTTTGCAAAAGGTACCTAGCCGTTTCGGAGGTATGGAGCGCAAAGGGTGTAAAAATGGTCATGTTTGAGATCATGATTATCCGATTAGATTAATTCAAAAAACCTTTTGTTTGCGTAGATGGTGTGCAAAAAATTTCGTAATTTTAAAAATTTTCAAAAAAAATCAAGATTTTCAAACACAAAAGTTTCACAAAATTCAAATTTTCAAAAAAAATCGAAATCAAAACGTTATTATCAAAATATCAAAATAATAACGAAATTTAAAAAAAAATCGATTTCTTACAAAAATTTGAGAATATTTTGACTATTTTCAAAAATTCAAAAAAAATTTGGAAAAGAATTTTCAAATCTTGAATTTTTTTTAAAAAAATGATCTGAAAAAAAATCAAATTAAAAACAAAAATGAACAAATTTCTTGTAAATATACCCATAAGTTGTTGGTAAAATACGTTCGAGCCCAATTTAATAAGCACTCTTAAATTTACAGTGTGTATATATAAAAATTATTATTCGAAATTATTTAAAACATTGATTGACTATTTTTCACTCCTAGAATGTTTAATTACGGTCGGGAAGTTCCAGCAATTTGCTTTAGGACGATTACATACATGCACCACTAAATTATTATAATAAAATATATTACCATTAACATAAGTAATATATATGTTCGTTTTATTGTAAGAATGATGAAGAAGATTATTGGCCCAGCAAGTAAATGCCGGGCACACAAAAAATTGAGTTATATACTCATTTGAGTGCTCCCCTCCACGGAAATCTTTAGTAAAAGGCGAAAGATTTATTCGCTCTGAAGGGAAACCAGAGTGACGAGCCGACAACTCGGATTTATTTTATCCCTATAAATGGTGAACTTTAGCGTAAGCGCTTTTGTTTTGTAGCACATTTGCGCCATCTATGGAATTTATGGGTATACTCAAATCAATACATCCACGAACTAACTAATGTTAGATATTTTCTATTTGATTCTTTATTTAAGATTTGTTCGGAATTTTCTAAACAAAAAATAATATCAAAAAATAACACATATATTAAATATAGCAAAATATAACTTACCGGTACACCGACGACCCTTAAGTAATCCCATATAAGTAATTCTTAGGCTAAGGGTAGTAGTGCAATAAGGCAAATTGCTGGACCATTCCCGCACCGTAATGAAATATTCAAAGAATTTCAAATGTATTCAAATAAATTATTATAAATATTGTAACTTTCATTATTCGTATTTTATAGATGTCGTATATTATTTTTATGTTAGACACGATATTTATATATGTTTATATGCAAAATAATAACAAAACTTAATCAACGGGCATTAAAATAAAATACGTTATCTAATATTTATAAGAATTATTTAAACTGGATTGCAAGTTTGCAAAGTTAAAATTATTTATTTCAAGTATATAAGTGAGCTTTAACATATTAGTTATAATTAACTTTCCATAGGGTAAGTTATTGTAATGAGCCGAAAATCGAAATTGAAAATTTTTACATTTCTCGACGTTTTGAAGGTTTCTGAACATATTGGCATACCACAGAAAAAATGGATGTGTGTGTGTGTATTAGTGATGGGCGTTGAATCAACGAACGGTTATTTTCAACCGTTTCTTCTTCGTTAACTAACTAACCGTTTCGTCGCAACGAAATAACTAGTTGAAAATCAACTAGTTTCGAAACAGTTGAAAACATGGCGGTCAGTTATTCAACGATATAGGAATTCGTTTATTGTCGAAAACGAACGTACGCAGGTACCTGGCGTTGGAAAGGATCAACTAATACTATGAAAATTTGTTAGGCTACTGCTTTTATAATATTGCAGATGTTCGTGCACATATTATAGAAACTTGCAACACGCGCCAAATCGTTTAATTTTAGAAAATCAGTTACATTTTTTATAGTTTTCAATGGTTAATATTTTTTCAGAAAATTCTTATAGCATTTGTCTTGTAATAATTTTTTTAAACTAAACCTGAAAATTGATTTTTTATTTTTCATAACATTTTTATGCAACTATATATTTTTATATTGCTATTTTTATATAACATGTAAATTCAATGTTTTAGTATACGGCTTTGCTGTAATGAAAATATTTTAATAAATATTCATAAAAAATATTTTTAAAAAATAAATTAAACCATTATTTATTATTAATAATAATAAATATGATATATATATATATATATATATATATATATATCTGTGTGTAATAAATGTGACAATTCACATTTATTTCTTTTTATTCATCAAATCAGTTGACAACCTCAACTTGACTTTTATAAGAACAAACTTCATTTCACCAACTTTCAATGAAACAGTTATTTCAACTATCAGTTTCTTAACGTTGCCAGCGTTGAATCGTTAAAAATAACTATAGTTGAAAAATAACTAGTTATTTAACTAGTTGACAAAACCCCGATAACCGTTTCGTTTCGTTGACGGCAAAACCGTCAACGACCCACCTCTAGTGTGTATGTATGTATGGATACAAATTTCCAGTCACGTTTTCGGGCGCACGGATTTTCAATTTTTTTTTTCAAAAAAATTTTTTTTTTATATATCGGAAATAATTCAGATTTTAATCGTAATTCTGACTAAAGTTCTAGTGTACTTTAAACAAATATGTTTAACTTTGCAATTCAGTTTATATAATTCTTATAAATATGTATTAGACAATGTTACAATATTTATAATAATCTATTTGAAAACATTCAATATTTCTCGAACATTTCGTTACGGTACGGGAAGTTCCAGCAATTTGCCTTAAGGCACGATGCCATACACCCCACTAGTTAAAATTAAAATCCAATTCATTTTCGATAATAAAATTTTTTGAAATTTTGAAATAAAAAAATGACTTTCCTAAAAACTGATTGTTTGTTTCTTTACGTTAAGCATCGTTACTCCGTATCGCCAAAACGGCTGGACCTGTCTTTGCTTAAAACTAAACAGCACGTCTTCTTATGTTCAGAAACCTCTAAAACGTAAGTACATATATGCAAAAATTTTCATTTTTTTTATTTTTGGACGATTACAATAACTTATCTTTCGGGAAGCTATTTTTCAACAAAAGAAAGTCAAGAAACTATTTTCAACAAAAAATTACTACTGTAGTTACTAGTCATTTGAATGACTATGAATTCATAGGCTGGGCGGGAGAAACTTGTGGTCGGTTAAACAGAAATGCTCTATAGTTATTATAAAAAAGTTGACGTTATTACAACTCCGGGCATAGTATGAAAACGCTTTTCCTGACAATGAGTACCGCGTTATTGGAGAGTTGACTGTATAAATATTTACATTCACAAATACATACACCACACAAACCCACTTTCATTTTTCTAAAGTTATGTTAAAATAAAACATAACAATATAAAAAAATATATTTTAATTTTCTTGCGAATATCTTAAAAATCAAATACATCTATTTCAATTCACTTACAGTTTGGTGCTAGGTACTCTCTACGCAGGCGGATCCCTTTTAGCCACCGACCAGCTCACGGCTGGTGAATTGATGGCATTCCTGGTTGCCTCTCAGAACGTCCAAAAATCGTTGGCCCAGGGTTCTATGCTGTTGGGTTCCGTGGTCCGAGGAATGAGTGCCGGTGCCCGAGTTATGGAGGTATTGCACCAATTGCATGATCGTGGAGAAATAAATTTTGAGAGTATTTTGGAAAGTGTTGAAGGGCAGTATGTCAGAAAAGAGGATAAAAGAGTGTTTGATCATGAAAAGAAGAGAAAAAAGAAGAAGAGAGGTGTGAAAATTGAGAAAAATGGTTAATAAAAAATTGGAAAGAGTTAATAATTAATAAAAATATCAATTTTTAGAAACAAATTATACTTTAACCCTTTCCACTCAGATGCAGCTGCATTTCGCGAGTAGAAAGGGTTAATATAAACTGTTGATGTTAGATAATTATCATCAAAGCTATCGGATTTATTAATATGTATATCAGTCCTTTAAATAATTTGAATTAGATATAATTTATCGGAAATATTAGGGGGCGTCCATTAATTACGTGTGCGAGTTTTTAAGGATTTTTGGACCCCCCCGCCCTTGGTAATACATGGTGATATTCAAAATTACTTCTCCCCCTCCCCCACCAAACATCACGTATATTTTTAGTTACGTGATAAAACTGTAAATTTTTTGATTTTTTTTTAAAATGTTTGATTTTTTTTAAAGAAATCAGTTAAAAAATAAATACACGTAATATCTTACTATACCCCTCCTCCCCCATGTGATATTTCGTGATTTTTTGTCAAACCCCCCCTCCCCCTAAAAACCTGATTAATGTATACCCTAATATATTTGAAATTATGCAAAAATGGGACCACGCATTTTCAACCCTATTTTTTACGTTAATCTAAAACAAGCGGCATTGATAAAAATTAATGCCAAATAAAACTAGGGGTGTGTGGCATCGTGCCTTAAGACAAATTGCTCGAACTTTCCGTACCTTAATGAAATAAATATGCGAATAATATTAAATGTTTTCAAATCTATTATTATAAATACTGTAACTTTAATTTATATTTTATAGACAAAAGGAGCGCTCGAATTGGAGGACGACCTTTAAATATAGATAAATATTACTTAAAGTCGAAATAAACAATATCAAAATAAATATTACATAAAAAGTAAATAAATAGAACTTAATCAATCGGTTTCAAAATGAAGTCTAATATTTATAAGAATTAGATAAACTGAATCGCAAAGTTAAAATTATTTCTTTGAAGTATATAAGTGCGCTTTAGAACTTTAGCTAGAATTACAATTAAAATCGCAATTATTTTCGATATTCAAAAAAAAACTTTTTAAATTAAAAAAAAATACAATTTAAAAAATTGTAGTAATCAAATGTACTGCCTGACAATGCAAAACGAATAATTTTAATTTTTTATTGTTAAGGCACTAATAAGATGTTTGAAATTATTTGCCTAAATAATAATTCTTGAAAAATTTGAATTTATTTGCATCAGTATAATTCTAGACAAGAAAGGCATAAATCATGAAAGTGCATTTTCTCTTATATTCACAGTAAAACTGATTTTAAAGTAGTAATTTTTTTATATGCATATTTATAATAATACACTTTTTCTTTCAGTACATCGGCATCGAGCCAAAAGTTCCACTGAAAGGCGGGATGGAGATTCCACCAAATGAATTCAATGGAAATATTAAATTTTGTAGGGTATCATTCGCATATCCTACAAGACCAGGAAATGTAAGTGTACTTATTATCTATTTTAATTTAATATTATGAATATCCATCATCATTATTTAAGTCCGTTCTTTGAGGCACACTGAAAATTACTCTACACTTTGATAATTAACTGAGATCAATAGCATTATTTAAAGACCATATATATTATTTATTAATTTAAATATATTTTTTCCCAGACTGTTCTCAAAGATTTTAGTTTAGACATTCCTGCCGGAAAGACAGTTGCACTTGTTGGAGTTTCTGGAAGTGGAAAATCAACGGTCGCCAATCTCATAGAACGATTTTACGAGCCTAAAACTGGTTCAATATCTATCGATGGATATGATTTGAAAGGTGAGCAATTTAAAAGATGATTGTGAACGTATTTAATTAATTATATTATATACAGCTAAATCTATAAACTAATTTTTAGAGTGCGAAATGTGGTGCGAGTGTGGTGCCATTTACCCTAAAACAAGTTGCAATATCTTATTGATATATAAATTGTGCTTGCTCATCTAACTTTAGCGCCTACTTAATAACTTTTAATATTGTCAAAAAAAAAATTGGTAACTATTGGTAATTTTACGCAAGCTAATAAGTGCATTTTCCATGTATACTTTTTCTAATAATTTAAAATTCCGAGAATCTTTATTAACTTTCCGTAGGAAAAGTTATAGTAATTGCAAAAAAATCGACAATTTTCTATATATCTTTACGTTTTAAAGGTTTTTGAACATTTTGGCATACCATACCTTAGAGAAAATTGTATGTGTGTGTGTGTGAGGATACAAATTTTCGTCGACGATTTCGGGAACACCGATCAACCGATTTGAATAATTTAAAACATTCAGTTCGTATTTATCAGGAGATGTGGTGATTAGTTTTTGGCGAAGGCAGGTCTAGCCGTTCCGAAGATACGGGGCAAAAAGTGCCAAAAACGGTAACTCAGTTTTTAAGAGGAGCGAGCGTCCGATTTTAATAATTCAAAAAACATTTTACTTGTATCGACAAGATGAAGAACTGATTAAATTTTTGGGAAGGCAGGTCCAGCGGTTATGGACTCTCAATAAAAAAAAATAAAAAAAATGACACTTGGCGGTCAAAAATGTTTATTGGACATATGTACATCAAATTATCAGATATTTTATAGAGATTTTAATAATGTGTAAACATTTTGCGTAATTTTTTTTGGCCAAGATTTTTAATTACGGTACGGGAAGTTCCAGCAATTTGCCTTAAGGCACGATGCCATGCACCCCACTAGTAATATTGTGATAAAACAATAACCGAATATTTAACTTAATGAAGCTATCTAACGATAGCCATTGGCTACTGAAAATTTTTTGAACTTGAAAAATTGTAATAAATATTGAATCGATTATAAGATAAATTCGGCAAACAATAATAAAGCGTGTGATTATTGAAATTTTGAAATATTTAAAAAAAATTGCTAACATTTATTTTTGGAGAAAGAATTCAATTGATTTTTACCAAAAAACTTTGGACAAGATTCGTCGCTTTTGAACAATTAACAACTGTTAATTACTTGTTACAGTTAGTCAATATGAGTGAATTTTATCAAAAGTCTTTAAAATTCTTAAAACCAATGGACACATTATCGGGATTACATTAATTCTCTGATCACCGTTGACGCAGACCTAAATTTAATAGTTGGGCGAAAACAAACTACCTTTTGGGAAGACGGGTCTTTTCGATCTTGCATAAAATGTTTATATATTTATAATATAGATTCCAAATTGACATTTTTTATTTATTTATTAAACATGATTTCACTTACCATTTCAGAATTATGTCCAACATGGCTTCGTGGAACCAGCGTCGGATTGATAGAACAAAATCCAACTCTATTCGCTACCACAGTGATGGAAAATATACGATATGGAAAACCTACTGCTTCGGATGAACAAGTAAAAATTAATTTGTAATATATACTGTATGAATATTTATTGAAGTGAAACTTACCTATAACTTTTTAACCCCTTCCCTTGCTTTAACATTTCTGGCTCGTGAAGAAAAATTTTGACCAAAAATGAATATGAGCAAGGGGGTGCAAGTTTCGACGAGCTAAATGGCACGGGAAAGGGTTAAGCAGTAAAATTTTAAATTTACTTTTACCCGTCTCTGATCTGGTTCCTTGACTGATTATCACCTATAGGTGACTATAGGTGACTATAGTACCTCATTTATTTATTGACCAATAGATTTAAAATAATAAAACAATTATTAATAATAATTGTAAAGTAGAAGTAATTAATTGTACAAATCATTCTATCGAAAGGTAATCGAAGCAGCTATGCAAGCGAATGCCCATGAATTCATATTAGGATTCACGAATGGTTACCGAACCTTAGTCGGCGAAAGAGGAGCTGCTCTGTCTGGTGGCCAAAAACAAAGGATCGCCATTGCTAGGGCTCTGCTAAAGAATCCTAAAATATTAGTGTTGGACGAAGCCACAAGGTAAGCGAAATAATTAAGTATTTAATCAGACGAACTATGATAAGTTACAGAAACTGGCCATATGGCCATTCTTGGTTAGATGAAAAATTTACTTCTCATTTTCTAGGCTGGTAATTTATGCAAAAAAATATTTTCAGTGCCCTAGATACCCAAAGTGAAGCCCTTGTGCAGAGAGCCCTTGACAATGCCACCAAAGGCAGAACTGTTGTAGTTATAGCTCATCGTTTATCAACTATCAGAAATGCCGACATCATAGTGGTCATGAAACATGGAAAAATCGTAGAGGTAGGATGGGATGTGAAGTAATGGTTTTACGAAAACGGTGCAAGTGGTTAAATATAGTTAAATTTGACAAATTCAATTTTCTCACTTATGCGAAAATCGCTGATGGTTTGCATCAATAAATGTCTATTTATCTTCAACTGAGTTTCCACGAATTTTTAATTTTAATTTTACTTTTACTGATGATTCAATATAATTAGTTGATATCATCAGAAATATAATGCCCTACAATGGAAATTATTTATATTTGTTTGTTTTTAGATGGGCGACCACAAAAGTCTTAAAAAGGCTAAAGGACACTATTGGAATTTGGTCCGGGAACAAGAAAACGAGAGCGAAGAGAAGACAAAACGGCAAGGCTCTTAATTTTTTTAATGTATAATATTTATTGTGTATATATTTATTATCAATGTTGGTATATGTATAAAAAACGAATAAATTATTTTTGACTATTGGTGTCGTTTTGGAATCTATAACCTTTAACAAAGAATAATTTGTCTTTTTTTTCAAGATTTGATATGAATGTTATTAACCCTTGCTAATTCCGAGATTTATATGAATTTTGTTGCCGGAGCGGCGGCATCCGAGTGGAAAGGGTTAATATCTGCCAAAACTTTTAGAATTTGAAAATCAAATATCTGGCTAAAACATGGACTTCTTCTTCGGAAAGTTAAAAACTAATATATAATATGTAATATATTTTTGAACATTATATATGTTTCTTGGCTGCTGAAACCAAGAGCGCAAAATTGCAATGACAATGTGATTCAAAGGGATAAAAATATTTGGCCCACATATTTATTTTTAAGGACATCCTGATTATATGGGGTTAACAAAAATGAATAAATTAATCCGCAAATTTGGACCATTAAAAAAACGTTGGATTTGTATTATCAGCGTCAAATTTGCCTGCAAAGAAAGCCAAAAGTGAATAAATAAAATGCAGTCAAAAACGACTAAGTTATCATTTTTTGCTAATGAGAAATTTCAAACAGATTTGAAACCAAGAATTTTGTTCATTTCAGTGAAATTTTAGAGTGAAATTGTCCTTAAAATAAGTGTTTCTATTTTTATCTAATTCAGGATACTGTATTACGAATATACATATTTCTTGAAACTGTACTCGACTAAACTGTTTTACTAATCATCAAAAAATGTTGGTTCTTTTAAGTAATATAAAAAATTCGGAATTATCAAGTTTCTTGAAACTTCCAAATTTATTCCGCAAAATTTTTTTGAACATCAATCATTCTGAGCAAGTTCCACATGCGTTTATGATAATATTCTTAACCACGTGGCTTTTTAGATCAATTTCAAGAAAAACAAATATTTCTATTGCTTTATTTTCAAGCCGCCCGATATCTTTTCATACCTTCACAGCTCTTACCACTGACCAATGGTAAACATCGCAACATTGGTATCAAAATTAACAATCTTTTGAGATTTTTAAATTTATTCCACATTTTTTTTGAACAGCAATCATAACTTCTGAGCAAGTTCCATGAACTTTTATGACAATATTCTTAACCACGTGTTTTTTTTTATTTAGGTATATTTCAAGTAAATACAAGTATTTCTACTGCTTTCTTTGAAAGCTGCCCTAGATCTCTTAAAAGCTCATACCTTCGAGGCTCAAGATAAGCCCATTCCCAGCATCAAAATAAACATTTTTTGCGATTTTGCTACCAGAATTAGATTAAATAGAGTACAGTTTCCAAAATATTAAGAAATTCAGATCATCTCAGCATCTGAAAAAGTAACAAATACAAAAAAAAAAAACAAGCACAAATAAAACGCTAAACATTAGGAATATTTGGACATATTTATTTACTAAACAATTATTTAATTTAAACTTTCATTTATCATCAAAGTGAGATTCTGATAAATACAATATGTACATAATTAATACACAACAGAAAAAAGAAACAAACACAGAAATAAAACTTCCGAATTATTGATATATAATAATATTATATGTCTTATATTAATTATTATAACGGAACTAATTGGCTTTTCAGACTGATATTGATGATCCGCCATAAAATTAACGTTTATCAGTCGATTTATGACGATGAGGTCATTGATAGATTTAGAAAATGACATCGATTTTAAAGTATGATTTAGAAGTCATAATAGGATTATGTGTGATTTCCTCAAATAACTGAAGAAATCCATACAATAAAAATAAAATGCATTTAGTGGGTTAATTAATGATTTGCAGACCACAAACTTTTATGCCTCTCCGATGTTGTCAGTTGACCCAACAGGAAACATTTTTAGTACAATGTAAACGATAACTTTAAAGACCCACAAGGCAGGTCAATAATTAGTTTAAATATTAATTTTGTCGGCTACAATCGCAATACATGGTTGAACCAAGACGGAGCTTTTAGCCCCTTTCAGCATTCAACAATTATTTGTCCAAATAGAAAACATTGCTTGGAAAATCAGGAATCCACATCTGTCGCCAGAAAAGTTATCTTAGTGGGAATATCTTCTGCACATAGTGGACGAAAAACAATTGAAAGTTGAAATTGAAAGCTGAGACTTCAAAACAAATGCCAACAATTTTCCAAAAATATGCTAAAATGTGTTTCCAAAGTTTCGTAATTGTAAAAAGAATGCTTTAACCGCAGCATTTGTAGCCATTTGGATATTGCTTTCAAAGACGAAGTGCATGTATCTATATATTTTATTTTTCACCTAATATTTTTTAACAGCATCAAATAATTCATGATCTACTCTTCATATGAAGAAAGATCAAGAAAATTGGTAAAGAATAAAGCAATAGTGCAATAGATGTTCTATTTGTAATCACATGACTGCACCTTAAAAAAGTTATTTTGAATTGAAATTATATTCTTATTTACTATTAAATTAAAATTAATTTAATTCTATTAAATTAAAAATGTTGAATATCGGATCAGTTGAACGACGGTCAGAATTAGAAGCAGATGTGTGGTCCAATAATTCTTAAATTATCACAAAATTAGTGAATTAATTATTAACAAATAACAAAAATATAAATAACGAATAAACCAAAACCACGAGAATCATCAAAAATGACAAATTTTCCATCTAATTTCTTCTAATTGTCGATCGATTGATGTTACACAAGTGCAACATCCACATCAATCAAAAGGAAAGTCCATGCCTCTACCATAATATGGACATGGAGAAAACAAGCCCTAGTGTCAATTCTTACCAGTGATTCTCAAAGATAGGAGATAAAACTCCATTCTCATTCCACAACAATGGATAAGATTTCGAAAAAGACATTAGGGCAATGTCTACTCCCGATCCACATCAGAACATAAACTTTACTTTGAACTCAAGCCAATCAAAAATTAAGGTAAAAATAGATGTGTCTAACTTAGCCTTTTATCGTCATTTTTATGAATCGCTACGGTTCTGGTTTATGTTTATTTATATCTATTAATTGGTCGTCATGTCTTTCATGATCTATAGAGGTTCAAGAAAAATTCACGCAATTAGTTTTAAAAGTAAACGTAATATTTTTTAGGTAATATTACCAGATTTGTCCTATCTCTATAGATTCATGAAGATTTTATATTGATAAAGCTTAAACTTAATATAAATGTTCTTATGACGACACAAATGCGTTTTTGTTAGTTATTGTTATGACGTCATCAGGCATATAAGCTGAGTTATATATAAAAGAAATGAGTAACATTTAAAGTTCAATGAAGTCAATGAAGAAAACCTAAAACCAAGTGAAAACACGTAAAACAAGTTAAAGTTTGCCAAATGATTGTTACTTCATTAATAATGTATGCAAATATACGAATAGATTCTTTCTTAAGCAATTAGACACGCGTAGTAAAATTTAGAATTTTTTGGAATGCGTTGAAATTCACGTGAAACATCTTTTAGAATATTCTTTGCCATTATCAGAATAAGAAGGATGCAACTTTTTTATCTATGGATGTAACAAATAAAAAACTCTAATAAAACTATATGCATATTTTTGCAAAAACTAAAACCAATGCACAATTTTCTTTTCAATCTTTATAAGCGTATTTCAACCCTTTCCACTCGGATGCCATCGCTCCGGCGGCAAAATTCATATAAATCTTTGAATTTATATTCTTGGAGTGGAAAGGGTTAATTGCAAATTTGCTTTGAATTGTCATACCCAAATCCTTTGAACTTGAGATAAAAAAAACTTTCATGAACAGATTTTCATGATATCAAAAGCAAATGATGCCCTTAATACTATCTAAACATTGAAGAATGCTGGTTGCACGTTGCCATGAACAATTAGTAAATGTGATTGCGTTATCACATTCACCAAGTTATCTAAATCACGATATTAACCAGAAATTGTCTGACCAACATTAACTACTAAATCTTTGGCAAAGTATCTGTTCGGGCGTATTTTCGTTTTATTATATTGGCCATGAAGGTGACAATCTTCATGGCATTGAGCTTTTACACGGAATGGTTGCT